GCGCGCTGGGAGAGGGGAGGGTGGGAAGGCCGCAGGCACCGTCGCGGGGAGTGAAATGTGCTGCGTGTCGTTTGTGGTACAGGTTTCACACATGTGCCAAAAGTCGTGGCAGTGTAGGCTTTAAATAAGTGCGTTTATTGTAGACAAGTTATACCTCCGTTATTCCTGCATGTAAAGAGAGGGACGTTCACGTGGGCGGGGGAGGATGTTGGGGTCATCTCCCCTCAAAATAAAGCAGAACTAACCTAACAGGATTGTCGGGTAGTCATCCATGAAAAACGTTTAGCATGGTACCTGAGTTTCGGTGAGCGCTCAAGCGTGGACGCGGCCGTAGCTCGTAGAATACCACGAAATGCCTGGAGCATTAGAACATCCATGATGACGATCTAGGGAAAAAGTGATGAAGGCCTGAACTGAGACGTTGTAATGGGGATGCAGTGCAGAACTTAAGGGAGGCCTTAGCTTTCATCAAACACCTACCTGTACAGGCACTGACAGCCACTTTACATGTTAGCCCAGAAGAACACGTTTCACGTGTCGCTGTATGTACAAACAGGAATGGATTAAAGAAGTAAAAAGTACGGCTTTCTATGGGAGGAGAGTCACTTGTTCTGGGACTGAATCTCATACTAGCTGTGCGATCTTGGGCGGTTGTTTCCACTCGTTAAATGGGAATAATACCTATCTCCTCGGGTTGCTATAAGAATTAAATGTGATGAGATTCACGGCAAAGACCTTAACCTACACAGGAATCAGGAGGGCCTGAGGGAGCAGCTGTCACAACCTACAGGAAAAGCTATGTTTAGGAAAGGGCTCTGTGACTGTAACAGCCCCTCCCCCTAACGTGCTCTTCCATCTCAGAGGGGCTTCCTGCTTTTTTTCTCTTCCTCCCTGTGGCTCCCAGTGCATACACCTACTGGATTGCAATCCTTTCTTTTTCTCATGTAAATCCTTTCTGGTGATAGAATACCTAGTCGATTTTGTTTTATAGTCGATAAATGAGATAAAGCAGATAAAGCACCATAACCAGGCACAGAGAAAGTTCTCCCTAAGTATTCATCACCCCTTCTCCTGTTTCATAAAAAGACCCAGCTAGATCCTGCTGTAGTTCATAAGCGTGATGATTGGGTGTTCATGCTATTGTGGGAGAGGTGCCTCCCTCAAACCTTGTTATGACATGGGCACATTACCTGTCTGACATGAGAAGAAAAAAAAAAAAAGACCTCATCAAACAAGATTAGAATAATAGTTTCGGCCAAACACAGGAGAATCCAGGGGAAGACATGAAATTTGGGGCCTTGAACGTTTCAGTCTGGGAGAGGATTTGGACACTGGGAATGCCCAGGGAAGGAATGTGATGTCAGGCATCACTTGGCCTTTATAAAAGATATCCACAAAGCTCCTTCTATAATTCCTTGCTCATCAAACCACTTTCCTGCATGGGGAATCACAACATTCAGTTCATGAGAAAGGCTCTCTATCTCTCCATTCATTTATCAGTCTGGTTTTAAAGAGTCAAGTTCTATTTTAGAGTTAGATTTATTGTGTGAAGATTAACAAACAAACCCCATGTGGCTTGGAGTGGGAAGGGCCTGTAAGGGGAGTTCTCCAGCTCCACTCCTCATGGTCAATTACCCCAAACAGGAAGAGCCATAGGCTCAATCTCCAACAGGAGATGGTTTCTATTACTCCAACAGGAGGGAGGAGGCTTTTCTCCTCCCTGGCAACCACCCAGCCAATGAAAATGCACCACACTTCCAACTCCCAGTTTCCTCCAATAGATTCTCTGTTTACAACAGCCCCTCTGAACGCAGCTTCCCTCTATAAAAGAACGTTCCTCCTTTGTTCTCTGGCGGTGCCCATATTCACCTGCCCTTACGCTGCATGTCCCAAGTTGCAATTCTTTGTTGTTCCCACATAAACCCATTTTTCAGGAGAAATAGCTGGCTGTCTATTTGTTAAGTGTCAACAATTGCTTTGTTTCCTTTGAAATTTTATTCTTTGCCTTTAAACTTAGGATCTTCTACCCTCTCATATACTTGAGATAATCACACATTTTTTTCAGAGTCTTTACAGTTTGGTTTTAATATATGTAATTATTTCATATCATTATACTTATATTTTATATTTAACTCTAGTTTATCTGGAATATATTGTGGTATGTGGTATGAAGTGAAGAATCTAAAAAATTTCCTTCAAAAGACCAATTGTCCCAATACTATTTATTGAATGACCCTTCAAGGACAGATCTCAACAGGTGGAGATGGATGTAGGTTATTTTGGGCAGAGGGAACATTTGTTCCCGGATGGTGAGAAGTCTAGTTTGGCTGGAGCCCAGAATCTGTGAGGAAGGGGTGGTGAACAGCAGAGCGGGAGGCAGCTGGACTGGGGCCCACAGTGGAGGCTCTGACTTATAGGTGGGAGTTTGGACTTGAGTTAAGGGGGAGCCCACCAAGCTGTGTAAACAGGAATATGACACCTCCACTCTGCTTCGGGGAGGTGACCCATGGCAGAGGACAGCGTGGGCAGGCTCAGTTAGGAGGCAATGATGAGTTGCAGATCCGAGCCAGTACGGACTGGATGCGGCTGGCAGGGAGGGAGCGTGCAGGGCTTTGGGGCAGGAGAATGGTCAAGAGTTAAAAACCTGACATGGCGATGTGAGAGAGGACTAAAGGGTGGTTTTACACAGGATGCTCCGAGTGACTAGATCCCAAGACTGTTAGGAAGGATGGGTTGTTGGTGGCAGTGACAGGGTGCACTGACAAGACCTCAGGCCCCGGTGCTGCAGGTGTTAGGTGCTCTGCCCCATGCCATTCACAGTAAGCTCCACACTACAGGATGAGCTGCGCTGATGCATTTTTGGAATATCAAATTTTTTTCTCAGAAGTTTATTACTTCTTGGTAGCCTAAAGCACCTGCTGTGACTGCCTTTTGGCAAATCCAGCACGAATGAGAGTGGCTTTAAGTGTCAGCATGTTAAATTTGGGCCAGCTGGAAGCCCAAGGGGAGATGTCCAAGCAGCTGTGGGTCCCAGACAGGCGGGGCCAGTAATGGGGCCAGAAACGGAGATGCAGGTGTGGGAGCTGCCAGCAGATAGGGTGGGTTTAACGTCAGCTCCCAGGAGGCTGATTAGAGAAGTTGGGGGCAGGCGAACAAGATGGGGAGAGAGAAAGGCCGCGCGGTCAGATGTTACAGTTTGCACTGAGCGAGCCTGCACGTACCCTGCCCACACGTTCCGGAAATGTGCCCAGAGTCACACATGTCTGAAGAGGTGGAGAGAGACTGCAGCTCAAGTTTCTGATTCTAATTCCTGTCTTTGACACTGCCACCTTGGGGGGAGCATGGGGGCCAGATGCCACAGTGCTATCAAGTGAATGCGAGAGCAGGAGTAATGAGGGGCTGCCCAGGTGACGGGGTGGGAAAGGGCGGTACTGGTAGAGGGAAGCATGAGGCTGCCCAGAGCAACCTGGCCTGCGGGGGTGGGGGCGGCGGCGTGCTGCTGGTGGAGTGGCCTCAGGTGGGGGCTGGAGCCGGAGGTGCGCAGGGAAGGTTGTGGCATCTTTTTTCTTCTGAGACCAGGAAGAGCGAAGGGGAGACCCAAGAGCTTCTGATGGGCAGGAGGGAGGAGGGAGCCGATCATGATGGATGGCTGTGTCTGCTCCAGGCCCAGAGTGAGGAGGAGGCAGTGGAGACTGTGAGGCTTGGGCAGGATGGGAATCGGGGCCAAGGCTGGGCGGAGCATGTGCTTCTCGCAGCCACTCGGGCAGGAGGAGCAGATGGGGGTGGCCTTGCCAGGGCTGAGGAGATATTAAGGGGTGCGGGTTGGGGGACAGTGGTCTCAGATGGCCAGCCCTCTCCAGTTCCAGGCCGGGAGGAGGAAGGGTTTGGACATTGCATGCCTTTTTCCCTGTTAAGCTTAAGATGGAAGCTCACAGAACAGTTCAAGAATAGCCTTCTTTATCCAGACCCGTAAATGTTATTATTTTACCACAGTGGCTTCATTATCTCTCTATTTTTCCTTCCAGAGCCATTTGAGAAAAAAGATGAGGACACGATGCCCCTTTACTCTTCAGCATCTTTTTCCTAAAACAAGGCCATTCTCTTGCCTAACCTGCACACAGTGATTAAAATCAAGAAATTGACAGAGATCCGATGCTATTATCTAATCTACAGGGCTGATTCTGAGTTTGCCAAGTGTCCCAATTACGTGCTTTGTAGCAAAAGGTCCCGTTGCATTTAGCGGGCCCACACGCTTTCTCTCTTTAATCTGGAACTGTCCCTTCCTCAGTGTGTCTGTGTCTTTCCTGGCAGTGACACACTTGACAGGGAAAGGCCACTTACTGTACAGACTGTCCCCCACTTTGAGTTTGGGGGCACTTCTCGACCTCAGTCTGAAATTGTCCTGCCCTTGGCTGCTCTGCCCCTTGCCATCGAGAGGAAAGTGGCGTGGAGGGAGGCAGGCTGGGGGCTTCGGAGAAGCAGGTGCTGAGGGCGCCATCTCCAGGCGCTGGCACCGACGCACCCAGGCTAAGCCCTGCCGCAGGCGCGTCGCAGCCTTTCGCTCCAGGCCCAGGGTCCAGCTGGCTGCGCCTTAGCCTCCAGGTACGTCCGCTCAGATTCGTGCGGTGGAAGCGAATGTGATCTTGCACGGTCTGAGGAGAGTGCTTCGCCAGGGCTGGCAGAGACCCGCGCCTACTGTATATTCTGGGGACTTTTGTCTTCCCCGAAGTGGAGAAGTGGGTTGGCGCTGGTTTCAGGAAGGCGGTGTCCCAGCCTCGGGCCTCGCCAGTCGGCTCAGTAGCCCTCCACCACCTGCAGCTCCTTTTGGCTTTAAAATAACACCCTGCGGCCCTCGCAGAGGCGGGAGAGGCTCAACACCTGTTCACCTCTTGCTTCCCAACACTCCTGCGGCCCCCAGAGCCCCCAGGCGATGTCCGTATCCTCAGAACACCCTGGCTGGCACTCCTGCTCCCCGCTGTGCCCTGGCCCAGGGAGGGCACGCTTTGGTGGCCTCGCCCTGCTCTGCGTTGTTGGCAGGTGGCCCAGGCTGCATGTTCTATAAAGACCAGGATGGGGAGGCGAGTGCGTACACAAAGACTGGCCCCACTTTGTCTTTCTTTGGGGAATACATTTGCTGGACGACAGAGTTGAAGCCGCAACCCAACAGCCTTAAAGGGAACAGGATCCCTAGAAATACAACTGGTGGCAAGTGTGTCAGGTGTTATGACAAACAAGTCTGAGGAGGCCGCGGCTCAGGTCACCGCTGTTGGAACCCGTCTCTCCAGCCCTAAGCAGCGGGGGTGGCCTGTCCTCGGCCACCGTGGGTGTGAGGGCCTCCCCCAGCTGTCTCTGCTCGGCAGAGCCAGCTGTGCCCACAAAGCCTCCGGTCGGCTCCCAGCTGCTGTGCGGAGCAGGTGTGCCCTTCCCAAGAGCCCCTGAGGTCGCTCGCGGTTGTTCCGTGGAGCTGGACGATGGCCGTCTGTTCTGGCTTCTCATTTCACCCGGAAAATCCCAGCGTTTCGCCCTCTCCCCAACAGTCCTACCGGCTCCGGCCTCCCCAACACCGCCCAGAAGGCTGCGGGTTGCTGGTCTACCTGCCGCACAGGCTGCGGAGTGCAGCGCGAGGCCAGGAGGTTCCGCCTGCGTCGTGCGAGGCCCTCACAGACGCCCTTACCCGAAGGAAGTGCCGAACCTCCAAGGCGGGTCAGAGCCTGCAGAACCGGAAGTGAATCAAGGGATCAGCACGAGCTCTTGGTTTTATTGCACAAATGCCTGTGTGCGCGCACACACGTAAGTTTGGAAGCACACGCACGCACACTCCTAAATAGATATAGACACGTGGACACACACGCAGATGCAGACTCGCGCGCGTGCGCGGATCGGTGCATTTATACAGAACGTTTCCTAGAAGCCATGACGCCCCAGCAGCGCTCAGATCTTGGTGTCTTCAGACTGTCCTCCAGCAGAGAAGCTGGGGGGCCGGGGAGAAGAGTCTGTTTCACGGCTGGCGGGGAGAAAAGCGAGCTGAGCTGAAACACCTTGTGTCAGAAAATAAGTGTCCAGAACTCAAGGGACGCTTCCACGGGACATCCCTGCCGGAAAATGCATCTGAGACACTGTAAGCGTCAAATAATGACCTCCGTCGGTGATAAGCCCCTAACTGAAATGAGCATCCACGTACACCTGCTGATAGAAACAAA